GATTTGAAATCAGCATCAAAAAATACGTCTAGCAGTATAGGTCCCATTTCAAATGGCCACTTCAACTTGGGATCCTTTCCTTGTTAGTCTGTAAAAGTGGCTATGCTCTGGATTCCAGCGGTCAAATCCGTTTTGGGATGCGCCCTGCATTCCACTTCTATTCAGAGTGCTAGTGACTTCGTGCATGCGTGCGTGGCCTATTCAATGACTCATGACATGTAGATCAATGTTTCTATCCATCCAGACAGCTTGTTGCCAAAAAAGCGATCCTGGGGGAAAAGGGCCAAGATGGCCTAGGCGGATGTCGATCCGGGATCCGATCTCCGGATCATGCGTGTGGTTCTGCGCAACTTGAAACTGAACTATTTCTGCACCGATTATCAAAATGAAAGAGAATGACTCGGAATCATCTGGCAACCTATATTCTCCTACGCATGAGTTTTTTGTTAAAGATACGCTCACATAAGCAATGTCAATCATGGAAGCCATTCAAGGTGATCTATGTGAAAACCCGTTTTATGAAAAGATGGTTCAACCCCCTCGACCACTCCATTTTGCCTTCACTCGGAAAAATCACGGGGATGAAGTAGTATGGCACACAGTGACAAAACTACCCGTAACTAATGGCCCTCTTGCCACCTGCTTCGGGCCGCTGTGCAAGATCAATGAACCCCTGCTCCTGTTGGGCTCTTAGGTCGATTATATTCGATGCCTCGCCGCGATGTGTTTTTTGCCGAGTATCCGGCTTGTTTACACGCTTCAAACGGAAAAGTCTAGCTTCCGAACGCCAGCTCGATAGCCTAATCGTTCTTGCTGTTCTAGCTCTGAGGAAGCGCGCTGAGAATTCGATCGTACTGGTCCCCGAAAACACCTTGTCACGGGAAAAGGATTAAGGAGATGAAGATAGTGGTGCACAACATGTACTAGGCTACTTAAGATTTCAGGGCTTACGAAGCAGAGCGTAATCAGCAGCTACCTCCTCTCGGCTCCTTTTTTGCTCTTCTTAATTCAAATAGATGAAGTATGAATTTTTTGGCCTTCTATTCAGAATCATGGTGGCGCTTTTAATAGATATGTGGCCTATCCAAAGGTTTACTGTGGCCAAGAAGGTACTAGTCGAAGCTTATGAAATATTTATCAACGCTGGTACCAATCAACCGACCAAAGAGGGTGGAAAGCTTCGTTGGCCTGGATTTGTATCGATGCGGTATTCGTTCGCCCGATCACGATTGCGTGATAGTGCACCACTTGCCACTACACCAGAACGTCCGCGCATCTTGCTGGTCTGGTTTTATTTACTTCTTTGTTTACATGACAGCTGTGTGCTTGTTTCTTTACATGACATCTGTGTGCAAAGGTTCTCAAACAGGTAGTACTTTTAAGAAAAGCTTAGGCAGAAATGAGAATGAGATTTAAGCTCAAATTAGTTTACTGAAAATTCAATCCGATAATGTAACTGCCAGATAGTTTTTTGAGATTATAATCCTCCCTCCCTCCGTCCCTCCATAATTTCGGCGAAGATGACAACTCGTGGAGATGTTTTGGGAGAACCATTTTGACGTTTGCTGAGACTTCTCCCGACGATCCTAATCGCCAGTGGTAAATGCCAGACGGCTTAGGTATTAGCATGTTCGCTTAATGCTATCCATAAAAATAACTTGGGAAGCGAAGGCCTGCTTGTTTTCCAGCGATTAACCGCATTACTGACCGTTGGTCGATGTTCGTGTTACTTGGTACTACCCGTTCCCTGAGTAGTCACGCCTCCACCCTATAGCTACTGCTTTGCGAATTTCCCAACCAACTGCACCATACCTCATCTTCACTTCGCTTCACTCTTCACTCGTCACTGCCTAGGGCTAGGTTAAGCTTTAGCCTAGGGTTGAACTCAAAAGGCTTCTGATATTTTCTTTTGAAAGATCCTCCACCTGATTCTGCCTTATCCAAAGATGAGTGCACATGCCGGAATTCTCGAATATCGACGTTGGCAACGTGTCAAATTCTATTCGGCTCTTCGGCTCGGTCTCTGATGGTTAGAAAAAGCCGGAACAACGCCGCGTTCATGCTCTCAGAATGGTTCAGCGCCGCAGAAATTTTTCGATGTTCGGTGGTAATAAAGAGATGAAGAGACAGGCAAAGGCTGCTCAACGGAATCAATGAC